CAATAAAAAAAATCTCGTTTGTTGGAAGTTTTGTGGTCATTGGTTTTTGCATTTTATTTTTTCCAATCTATGATGTATATGGATATTGAGATTTAAATTGTAAATCACATTATGGCTGCGAATGAACTTCATATGGGTTGAGCATTAAAATTAACAAAAAACAAAGACTTTGTAATAAATTGAACGTAATGTGACATTTTAGCTTAACATGTAAAAAAAAAATGAAAAACATCGTCATACAAATGCAACATTACTTTTAACAGCTACATATTTCCAATTTTTAAGTGTTTTTTCTCGCATATTTGGAAAAAAATCTTAATCAGGTATAATTTAGTATGTGGTAAAGTATCTTGCATGGGATTTTAATCGATTTCTGTCTCACACATCGCGAATCGGCGAAATGTTGCCATGACGTCATTGTAGTTTTATAATAAAACAGGGAGTACTAAACGAAAAGAGGACATCGATAAGACTGATTTGGAAGAAGTAATTTAAACAATAGCAAACTAAGATCATCATTAAAAGAAAGGGTGAAGGCAAAAAAAGTTGACATCTGTAGTACGTCCCTCGTTGGAAATAGAATCAGGCTAAAGTGGAAGCATGGAAACAAAATCAAACGTGTTTCGAAAGGCACAAAAAAAAAACGTAAGAGACAAGAGTGAACAGAAACAATTCATTAATGTTCGAAACTCGATAAAAATCTCACATGAGAGTATAAACAAACATAGCTTATTTATACCTTGAATTTTGTGACATAAAGAACAATAAAGACAAAATTTTCAAATGATTTACAATCCTTTTCACATGCCAACTTGCGGAGTTTTGCCGGAAAACATACAATGTTTCGAGGTGATTAGTTGAGCATGTACTTGGCAATCAAATACCTAAATGTTTGTCCACTCACACTTATGCCAACGAATTATTTATTATAAATTCAATGGTCCGGCACCTAGATCTTTTTCGTTTCAACTTTGTAATATTCCTTAGAAATGACCCATCTTTTAAATGTTAGTGTTAGCAATTTATGTTAAATTCGTGGAAATGGTCTTTTATAATGAAAAGGTCCCCTTTGTGACTCCCTAGAACAAATTTCCCTCATTTCATGAAGAAGGCAAGTTCCTCCCCTAGTTGGCCAACCAACGCCAGCTGTTAATTTTCACGCTCCAAAGCATATTTACGTTGCACATAATAAGAATAAATTATTTATCTTGTTTAACACATTTGTGTGCACACGGCAAACATCCAATGTTTTCCCTTTATTTTTCGAGCAGCAGTGGAAACAAACCATTGATATTTATGACGTAACTAATAAATATTAATATCAAGGTAAAACACAACATGCACCTCGTTAATTAAAGACTACAACATTCCAGAATATGTACGAATGTAACCTTTATTTATGCGGTTCTGAAATATCTCCAAAATTAAACTCCGTGTTATTAACCCGTTAACGCCCATGAAAGAGACCGTTCGGCGAAAAAGTGGGCGAGCTTGATATTACCATTACATCATTACCATATTTCGAACGATTACTACAAATTGCGTGCCACCAGATAATAATTTGCAGGGTTATCTGAGTGGAAAAATATTTTTCGCGCAAATATGTACATCCGTGACGACAAGGATTTCAAAATATTTCAGCGATTTTAAAACGTGTTTACCCTAAGAAAAAACTTAATGATCCTCCGGACATAAAACGTTTGTCGCTGAACGTTATTGGGTTAACGCACGATAATTTTTGAATATTTTCCAAATATTTGAGTCGCTCGAACGTCAACATCACAAGATCGACTCAAATATTGAAAATAACTAACGTTTTATTTGAAAAATAAACCGGCATAAAACAAGCAAATAGCAGCTCAATTTGTCATAGCGGCGTTCGATGAAATATCGAGCGCGGAGCACTCAATAATAGTTTGCATCGTTTCACCAAAAACTGGCCCGACTCCAAGTGCTGGAAATTAATTCACGAAAAGCGACAAAATGTAAACAGAAACGTCTGAGTCGTGAGTCAATTTTAGAAGGATCCGGAGAACACCGCGAACTTCAGCACGGCGGATCAAAAGATTAATGGCACTGATCTCGGTCGACGGAAGAGCCCAGATCAAATGCTAAAGCCTTTGTAATCAATGGAACATGTACGCTGCTGCAAAAATCTCCACTGAAGAAACGAATTTATCTGGATCCGAGATTTATGTTGGTGCGGGAGTATCTGATTTCGACAAATTACTGCGGAACGGCTTTAAAAGCAAAAAGAGGGTTAGATCCACATTCCGGCTCAAGGTGTTTACCATCAACATTCCGCTGGTGTGTCTCGACGACTGGAGGATTTTTACGGTATCCTGCGTCCGGTTTGACCAAGCTGTCGCCAGAATTTGCCCCTGTTGTGTTTTGGCCAATCAAAAAATATGATCGACCAGCGACAATTAATAAATGATTGAAAACATACGTGTTTCATGCAGATCGTACTCCCAATATAAAACCTGTAATTCAGTGCTTGGAAATATTCCTCGAGGCAATGTTTATAAAACAGATAAACATGAGAAATGATCGCTTTTTTCGACACAAAAACTGAATGGAAAACAAACATTTTCCTAATTTAATCAAAATAAAAAACCATTGAAAAAGTAAAGATTATTATTTAAATTGTTTATTTTTAATTTTAAAATATGTACTTACATACATAAATAATGTTGTATAGTCAAGCAAACCATTATGCATCTAATACCTGCCAGTAGCGAATGAAAGCGGAATGTTAATCTCTACACATCGAAGACTTTGCCAAGGATTGATGTGCGGAGGCTAAAATTCCGCTTTCATTAGATACAAGTACATATTAAAAGCATAATGACTTATCGCACTAAGAAGCAAAGTTACAAACGTGCTTGACTATAGTCAACTTGGATGATTATTGTTGATGTACAAAACACTTTTGGTACTATAATTATTACATAGTATTCACAAAGCCATCAAATTTGGTTTAACCAAAAAAAGCAATAACAGTCCTGATTTTTTTATATTTTTTCAGACATTCTAAACATGAAACATGACACAAATCGCAACCGAAAACAATCAAAAACTCCTTCTTCTCGTTTAACTTTCAACTACCCAGTTTTCATTCAAAACATCTCCAACCGCAGCCATCTCCAAGAAAAATGATCCCATTAAAGCCCTGACACCGAATCGATTTCAAGATTCAATTACATCAAACGTCAATCTCGTCCGAGATCCGGACAAAGAACAAGCCGCTTTAATTTTTTCTCTCTGCAATTTCCTACTTAGCTTCCATTCGGTCCAGGCTCTCAGGCCGTCACCGTTTATGTCCACGAGGGGCTGAGAGGAAGTGAGATATGGCATTGCTTCAGAAAGCCTCTTCACGGCGTCTCTCCACCCTCTATCGATCGCAATAAGGCAATCCGCCGCCACCGCACCCACTTGACATCGACATCTCGCTCGGAACGACGATCTAACGATATTTGCCCGTCTATATCGTTCGTCCTTTTCCAAGCCCTTCGAGATTTAATAAAAAGTCTTGACGACTTCAAAAGGATGCACCCACAAGAACGAATCAACTGCTTCCTATTTCAAAGCGTTCATAAACAAAGTGGTCGTGATGAGCAATATAGCCCGCGGATATCGTTTCTTCTTCAAGGAGCTCGTTGCCGGATCGGATATCGCACTTCCAAACATGATTTACGCTGATATTGTGTTCGGAAAAATTGGATTTAACATAAATTGGAACGGTGGGAGACGTGACTTTAGTGATTAACATTTAAATTGTGCATTTATGGCGCTATAAACTTGTCACACGGCGTTTTATTGAATGTTGTGGCAGCTTTGTACAGTTACGCGATTTCTGCGGTACAAAGTATGGAAATCCGATGACTCTTTCGCAAAAAAGTGTGAGTTGGGACCGTTATTTTTACAAAAAAGCTAAATGCAATTTTAGAATGTTAAAAAAAAGTATAACGACGATTTAATTCTAACAGGCAAAAATAAAAATTCAGCAATTTGGAATATTATTTCCAATGGTACTAGCAAAACAAAAAATGAACAATCGTAACATAACACGGTTGATAATGGCACAAATATATGGTATCTATTTAATTAGACATGAGTGTGCCATTCGGATCCATCTTGACCCCCTACTATTTAACATTTACAAGAATGACGTTTTCAATTATATAAAACACAATTAAAATTGTTTAGTGCGTTGTTGACATTAATATTTTAATACGATCTAAAAACTTAATTTTCGCACAGACATCTTGAGAAACATTTTTCAAAAATAATGAAGTGGGTAGATAAAAATATGATATAGAAAGGAAAAAACTGTGTACAATTTAAAATCACCACCTATGAAGCTAAAACTTATTTTAGGGAACGGACATAAAATTTAATTTTTTTTCAACAAAACTATTAGGTAGTTGCAAATATTTTAAGTATGTACTTAATTACGAGACACCGGTATTTTTACATCTACCACATTTTTTAATACATCAGATCAGAATTTAAGTTTTTCAACATTTTTGGATTCACGATCATTACAAAATTTTACTAATAAAGTTATAAATCAAAACAAAAAGGCCAATTTAAGTAATTTCTATATTCTCAGTTTCCCAATCCCATGGACGCCACGTGTTGTAATGACCTCGCCCAACCCTTTCTATATAAAGGGATGGAGCGGATTAATGCCACTGCAGGTAGACGTTTCGTCAAAGCTATCTATTGTCGTGAATTACTCAAACCCGCTGGGTCCATTATGATTTACAACTTTAGTCAAAGTTTCTTATTCTTGTGAGTCGACTATACCAATGACGTATGAATCTAGTAAAATTTAAAATATTTCTTTTAGTCTCTTTGTAGTAGAAGCCGATCATGAATAATCACTATTTAAATAAAAACAAATATTGTGTCCACATGTCATAAAACATGCTTTTGTTAGAAATAAAGACGCACGCTGCTTGGTTGTCCCCGTCCCTCTACTCCCCTCCACTTACCTTGGATTCCGTTTTGAGCTTTTTGGCTGGCGGCGGCGAGGAGCTCCGCTCGTCCAGGTTGGTGGAAGGCTGCATCGCCACGCTGGCCGCCACTTTGGCTTGCTCCGGCTTGGCCGCCGATCCCTGCGCGGTGGCGGCGGCCGGCGACGGCGGCGGTCCCGGAGACGGCCCGGTGGCGGCGGCCTGTGGCGGTCCCGGGCCCGTGCTCGCGGGGAACACAGATCGCGGTGGTCCGGTCTGCGGGGCACTCACTCTCACCATACCGTTCATTTCGGCGACGGAGACGGTCACCGCCCCCGCGGGCTGCGGCGCGTTGACGGTCACTTTCTGTCCACTGCTTTTGTCGCTCGACGACGACGACGACGACGAAGACGACGACGACGAGCCGTGCTTATCCCTGATTTTGTCGCGGCGGTGGCCGCTCGAGCCGCGCTTGCTGTTGCCGGAACTGTTCGAGGAGGCGGTGGGCGGCGGCACGGCGTTGTTGGCTGCGACGTGCTTGGCGGCGCTCACGGGCAACGTCGCACCTTTCAGGTCGCTCTGATCCGCGTTTCCGTTCAATTCGTTCGATTTGACGATTTCGTGTTTCGCCTCGGACGTCTTGGTGCCGGGTTTCGTCCTCTTGATTTTCATCTTCAGGCCTTTGTCGACGGTGGCCGAATGCTCGATGGCCATCTTGGCTGTGGCGGCCGCCTTGGCGGCTTGGGGCCCTCCAGCGTTTGCGGCCATCGCGATCGCCGGCTAGGCAGAAAATGCACTTTGTGAAAAATGTCCAACAAATTATTTGAAGTGAAATCGTACGTGTATACCAAAACCACCTTAATTAAGAATTGAGTTCGCACAGACGTATGATTTTACGACCCAGTATCGCTCGATTACAAGTTATCTACCAGACTTATCTATGATTGATCTTCTTTCACTACAACCAGAAATGCCAAATCAGAAATGTATCTTCAACCCCCCGTCAAACTTGTCTATAAAACTGACGATTCGACTACAGCGTATTATTACTTGATTAACAAAGAAAGGAACCTACCTGAATTTTATACCGTTACGAACTGAAAAACATTCTACCTGGAACGGCTTTATAGGGAGATGGTACGATATACTTATAAAATCCTTGATAAGAAAAGTAATTATTTTAATGTGATTTTATAGTATTATTAGAAATATTGCGCGGATTCAGCCTCCAACGTCTATTCACCTTCACTAATTGTTATGACGGCTTAACCGCGCACCCTTGTAAATTTGCCGTAGTCCAGATGGTTGGGAAGGAGTTTGTCAAGATGGACTGTAATGAAAATTTTGTTACAAAAAATGTTCGTAAAAGATAGAACGAACTTTGAGAGTGATTTATACAGCTCACGTGATAAAAACTGAAATAATTTTTGAGTAATTATTTTTATTATTATTATGATTACGTGCCTATCACGTGATGACTAGCTCAACAGCCAGGTTTACACGCTAATGTTACGTAAAGCAGTTGCGGCGGGATTTAAAAAAAATATAAAAGTAGCAATTCGTCCGATGAACTCAATTATTATATTTCCTTGCTTACGATCGGGAAGTAAAAAGTTTTCAAACTAGAAAATTCATTTTTAAGCGTGGCACACTGTGTATACGTATTTAACTTCGATTTAATTAGGCCGGGGACATATCTGGCGGAACTTCAGCTGCGTAATTTAGCGCGCTGTTTTTCAGTTTCAACCACCCCTCGACAAATACAAGCCGAAATTTCGCGAGGTGTCAGTATCAACTCTACCAAGCTCTACAAATTGACAAAAAAAGAAGAAAATATGGAGTGCATCCATTGCTTTTAAAACGCATAAGCATTGGTCAGTTCAATTGCCAATATGATTTATGAATTCCGCGCGCTAAATTACGCAACTGAAGTTCCGCCAGATATGTTCCCGGCCTTAGAAATGACGTCAACTATTGAAAAAGGTTATCTTTTGTTTAAATATTGAAACTTAAAAAAATTAAATTTCAAGAGACAAAGATAGAAGCCTAAAGGTAGTAATAATGGAATTATTATTGTATACCAACTGGGTGTGAAAGTAAGTTGAAAAAAATTGAAAATAAATTGTTACAGATATTTACTCTCTTTAACAAGCAACTACACACAAATGATAAAACTAAAAAAAACATTTATACAGGGTGATGTTCGATATCATATTAAATATTAGAAATGGATAGTATGTACTTACTAAAAAAATCTTGAAAAAGACTGATTTATTGAAAACATTAAACAAAAAGTTGAAACAAAAACACGAAAAAATAAAAGCGAAATATGTATATACAAGGAACACCAGTGAGGACACGAAAGCTTGACTTGAAATGATGTCACTACAACCAGTTTCAGTTTAAAATTTAAGCTGTATAAATCCGACCGGGAGCAGGTACTCGGCAAACATTCCTTGAATATTGCAGCTTTGAAAATTCATGTCAAGATTATCCACTTTTACAACTCCAGAGCTTTGGTAACCATGCTAAAGCAAAACTTTACAACCCCATTAACGGACAATAGCGAACAAGTAGATACCTTCGGACTCTTTAATTCTCGGAAGGGCTCGTTATTGGAAGGTAATACCTAAATAAGACGATAATGAAGTACCTGAAGTTATACACATGAATAATTTTGTTCTTGTATTGCGTCGTGCGAAGACTGGTGTGCCGATAGTGAATAGAAATTTCATGGAGTTATAATAAGTGTTTGTGTACTTATTATTTATGTTTACACAAATTGTACGTTAATTCAGTACGGTCCTGCATTGCTCAAGACATGTCAGAGTAACTGGGCAAATGGACGGTGAAACCGTGATACAAATTAATGAAAATCCATAGACGCTTGAGAACAAATTTTGAGATAACGTCATCAATTTTTTGGGGTTGATAAACAGATATGTACATTTTGATCAAAAATTTACCATGCTTATGATAACTTTCAAACATCTCCAATATTTCAAAGCATTCGATTTTGTAGTTCCTGATTAATTCAATAAAATAAATTCAGGCATTCATTAATTTTTTTGAGTTACCTTGTAGTATACGCAAATCAAAAAAATCTGAATGGAATGATGACTTGTGACTTACAAGTACAGACCCATCATCTTTTCTACATTTTAGATAGGATTTGTTCGGCAAAATTTTGAGCTGGCGTCATCAATTTTTTGGAGGGGATAAGTAAATATATTTTGATTAAAAATTTATCATGCCTATCATAACCTTTTAACATGTGTAAGATTTCAAAAGCATTCAGTTTTGCAGATTCAAAATTAAATTGCAAAATGTTGTTTTATAATTTTGATTTTTTTCCAAAAATCTGGATATTTACCGCAGGTATGGAAGTATGTTATTTTATAAAATTTAAATTCGATATTTTGCAAAATTTTTGAATGACCTTTTCAAAGTGCTGGTGCTAATGATTGGACAAATTGCATGGCGACATAGAACGTAATTATTAGAATTTTTCAAGAGTATTGTTAAAATCAACTGACACATGTCGCCATGAGGTTTACCATAACAACTAAACATCTAAAAACAGCACTTTCCCAAATTTTTGTTTCTTCAGTTTTCTGAAAACCTACGTACATTTCTTCCTGGATACTGTGTGATCAGATTTTCTTTTCCAGACGAGAAAGAATATGTATCTTCATCAATTCAATAACGACAGAACCACATATATATTCTCCTTCTGTTTAATATATCGTCTTCAAGAGATTTAACACTTTACAAACGGTGGAATATAGACCACTTTGTGGTTGATACAAAGCAGATTCCAACAGTTTTTTTGTTCACAGTACCACTATTTATTAAACTTAAAAATGTTTTCTTTAAATGTTTGTAATAGCTCCCCATTACAAAAATTAGTTATTGACACTGTGAACTATCTAAACTTAACAAACATGTCAAAATACAAAGCTATACAAAGAAACAACTAAATAAGACACAAAACAACTCAACTTTCTTTTCCATGTTTTTGCACAGAACATAAGAACTTTAACTTATTAATGATGTTTTTGTGAAGACTATTTTAAATTCACAGATATATGAAAACAATTACTACATAGGAATACACCTACAACCTATATCTAACTCAACAAAAAAAGTTCATTGGTTCAGGAATATAAACGAAAGTAAACAAAACATTCGGCCAATAAAGAGTCAAACTTTAAATTCAACTTTTCTGACCTTTTTTAATTGCCGCAGACAACTATAGTCGTCTTTTAATTATATTTAAGAGAGATAGGACACATAACTTTAAATATATCTTCTCTGCACCAAAGAATTTCAACGAGAATGCACAAGAAACTATACTCCCACGAACGAGCAGGAAGTGATTTCTACTGCGCAGGTTCGCCAGAATGTATCTAGTAAAGCTATCTCGTACTATTCTGCCTTTGTTAATTTTAAGTGTACATCACAGTTGAAATACAGACGTTTGTCGTCACATATTTCATACACATTTTCGTCCTGTAACATTCGCTATAAACACGTTGATTCTGGAGTTAGGATGGTTTACACATAGTAATTTAATCATTAGAAAATGGAGGCATCTATAAAAAGAAAACGACGTTGCTCCTGTGCTGTCTTGTTTAACGCAAAACGAATAAAAGAATAAGTTTTTTCGATTTCCTAAAATATTGAAACGAATAAGATAATAGGAACCAAACTATAAACACTTATTTATAAAAAAATATTTATTAACTGTTCAAGCATGTTTTGTCGACAGACAAATTATTTATATCAGTATGTCGTATGTAAACGTTTATCCTTTCATAACAACCAACTTTCAAAATTCCCGCGTCGTAGCATCCCAACGAAATAGCTGAAAGTCACCAATGTTGACAGCAAAACATCAAAGGCACCGACACAAGTGTCGCTTTTTGTTCTTTCTCTTTAATAATCTTTGTTTGCATGAACTGATCTGAGAGAGATACTTCCTAGAATAGCCACAAAGGGACACTAAGCATCAGCTTAGAAATATCCGGGTTACGAACGTAATGAGTACCTTCTTGGTAATTATTGTCCCCTGTCTTATCGACAATGTTATAATATAGAGATGTTTCAAACAAAACAAAACAAACAAGAAAATTCTTGCGTGCATGTTATGTCTTCAAAGTGGGTGGAAGTATGAATTATTATTGCCACTTTCTTCGTAGCACGAAATAAATCATGCAACTGTTCAAGTATAATAGAATTTAAAACTATTCACGACTTCATCCTGAAATAATTGAGACTGTATTTAAATTACAACAAACATTAAAACCGCAACACTTTGTTTCAACCAAACAGCACAATTATTTTTGAATTGTAACAAGATAAAGAGGAGTCCCCAGCAAAAATAACGGTAAAATCCGTTTGGGTCTGACAAGCTGTCAGTAGTTAACCACCTACCCTGAGTGTCGTATAATCATTACGATAATTTACAATGTTGCCTGCTGCCGATCCCAGCTTTCAGATTCTGGCCAAGTAAATTCATTTCATCTAGTCTGTGTTCCGAAGTTTCTAGATTATTGCAAAATGAATAAATAATAACAATAAATAATAATTACTTCTAACTACTTGCGTTGTTAAACGTAGAAATAAACACAAATAGATATATAACACATATTTGAAAACATTTAATAGGTAGTTACAAAATTCAAGTTTGATTTGACGTTTTCGTGAACTTGTGACTAGTGACATTTTTGCAGCAAAAAAGTTTGTGTCAGTGGAAACATTATTTTAAGTGCATTTTGTCAAAATGTACTCTATTTTGATTAATTTATTACGAAAGAAGTTATCCGCTTATTAAAAAAAGGAACAAAGACCACCCAACAGACCATGCAACACAAAGGGGCGAAAATATTGAACTTTATTTTTGTTATTTTATTAAAACTTTAACACTTTGAACAGTAATAATAATAATATATGTATCATATAAATATATGTGTATATTTAAAATTAGCGTTCTACAAATTATACAAAAATAAAACAAAAAAATTACTCAATCAATTGTTGTACAAAAAAGAATGATTGTAGAAAATAGTACAATCCGTCGATGAATGAAATAATTTGTGAAAGAGGCATCCCTTTTTTCACACACGAACCACTCTGTCACATTGTGTTTTTTTAGAAAAAAGTGTGGTGGATAAAAAAAATCCCAAAAACATGAAACTTATTTCAGTAACTCACTCTGATCGTTTGCATCCGAAATGGAAAAAATTACTTAATGACGCGAATGTCCCGTCTAACTTCAAAGTTTTAAAACTTATGCAACAAATTCTTGCGAAAAGATCCAATTACAAGCAGTATAATTTTGATTTGGAATTAGTTGAAAGCTCTTTTTGTTTTTCAAACCCATTTATGATTTTAAAACTTTACGATAATGTAACTTTGACTAGAATAAACGGTGAAAATACATCAGTAAAAGGAAACAAATAATAATTATTCATTTTAATAAGATAACAATTGAAAGAATTAATCGAAACCGCAACCAAAAACGTCCAATTAATAATGCAGCATGATTTACTTGAACTTTGTAAGGTACAGTAAAATCATATACCCAAAAATCCATAACGTGGATATTCGTTTGAAAACGGTAGACCGTAGGCTGTACAGAAACGTACGAGTAATCATGAAATCTCGCACCATTAATTCTTGATCGAAATAATTAATCGCTCAATAACACTAGGTAAATAATTGATTTGATATTATGCTCCGTTATTGGTAATGTAATCGAAATGTAATAGATATGTAATCAGCGCGTAAATTGCTTTAGTGACAGCTGAGGTCGTTTGATAATAACAATTCGAAACGGTAATGAACTTTCATACAAATCTCCCCATATGCATTTCAACTCAGTTGAATCAACTTTTAATAAGTAATTTACCGTTAAATCTGATGGGTTCCGATGTTTTCCTGAATACGAAAAACTCTAATTATTGTTATAAATTTCCGTCCGATCGATCAGATCAAGCAGTAAATCACAAAAATCGTTTTATGTATATTGATTTTATAATTTTTACATGATTGGTTATTGGCGTAATTGAAAATGCATTAAATATTAGTTATAATTTACTACAATCAATCATTTTACGTAAATTTCTATTACCTAGAAAAATACAAACACTTTCAATTTAAAATGAGGGGTTCACAGTAAATTAAAAAAAACACATTGGTTTACATTATTTTTAAACAGTTAAAGACGTAATTATTGTGAAATTTCGAAGTCACCTTATTTCTTTTGCAGTTAAGATAAACTTTGAAAAATTTGTAGACTTTGACTAATTTTCGAGTTAATAATCATAAAAATGTATCACAGCATTAGATATACATATCATACAGTTCACTTAATTTCTATTAATTTCACTAAGTAATCTATAAGTGGAATGTAAGATCTGTAATCCCCTCCGGAAGAGCTTTTGAATTAAGATTAGGTTTGTTTGAGGATCAAATCCTTTTCTGTACCTGGCGGGGTGGCTAAACTCAAAGATCATCTCCAACAATTAATTTATATCTTTTAAATAAAATTCCTTAGATTCGTAATTGTTATTTACGAGTACTTAGGGATCATATTTTATTAATTCAGTTGGTCTACTAATTGAGAAGTAGAAGTTGAGAATCGGAGGTTTTCACAGCCAGTCTCAATGATCAGGTTTCAAAACGAGGCTACTTTAGTAAGAAAGCATCTTCAGGAAATCAGGGAGATGACATTAACATGGGAGAGATTCATATTCAGTGAATTATTCCCCCTTGAAAATCCCACGCTAATTTCGTTTACTCTAATTTCCTGGCGTTGCTTCTTACAGCAGTGGGAAAACGTGGAAAGTTTTTTTTAATGCTGTATTCCCGAAAAACATATAATGCTTAAGTTTTTTTTTTAAATTTAAACAAATGTTTCATTAGAGTATTATTATTGGAGATAACCTTTAGTTTTTTATTTAGATATCACTAAATTGTACACTCTAGAGCTTCTATGGGTATCATTTCCAGATATCAAAAATTATTTCCACCACGATTTTTCTCAATTTTTGTTACAGACCGCAACAGACACAATTTAAGACATATCAATTTTGATTTACCGCGACAAACAACACAAGAAATGTCTAGACGACCGTTAAACGATCAAATTTGTACTTTATCCCGTTGCAATTATCGCTATCTGATCGATAACACTCATGAATAAAACATCATCAAATTGACTATCTCAAGTAAAGGGGTTGAAGGCAGTTTAGCCATAACTTACTTGCACAGAATTCAATCTGCTTTCTGTTCTGCACTATCCGCTTTAAACTTTTATGTTCCATCTTATATTTATTTATGATGTCGAGACCCGCAATTTTCATTTTTTGTTCGCTGTCGTCTATTATATTAAAAAACCAAACCGCTTTATTCGAGATAAAGAGTAACGTAATCTTTTTCTGCAAAATTTATAACACCTTACCACTTTCATTTTTTTTTTGTTTTGCTGCTGTAGTTGAATATCTTAAATTGTAGAACACAAAAAATATATACAGTGTTATTCACGACACGCTTCATGTCTAAACACTTCAAAACGCAACCAACAATGCAATTGCCAAGTCGCTAAATCAACTTGAAACTGGCCCCTTTGAATTTACTATGATTATTTTTTCAAGTAAAATATAGTTGGCTGTTTGGTGTAGATAATATGAAAATAAAGGCCAACGTTTAAGATAAAAGCAAAAACAAATTCAAAACAAGAGTTCCTAGGCGGATAATGTTTTCTATAAAAAAACGTAAAGCAGTAGCCGTATTTTTTCTGGATTCACCATATATCAAGAGCAGACGTATGTTGTCGTATGACTACATTTTACAGCATCAATTCTGCCGAAATATATCAATTTTAACATGGTAGTATATCTGACATTACGTAAATATTGTTACAACAAAACAGACAACTAAATTTAAGTTTTTAGTATTATATGGAATATCAAAGATTTTGGTATCAAGGACCGCTCTGGAATTTTAATTATTAATTATTTTACCGCATTACGACCACAGTGAATCAAACGACGTTAAATGCCATTTAAAAACGTTTGTCAACGACGTTTCACTTACGGTCTTGTTGTCGTGCTTGCATTTTTCATTCTTTTGAGTGTTTAAGTCAATAAAAACTGATGGACTTTTTTTTGTGCGTTAAGTTGGTACCTATAAGTTAAAGTAAACCAAACTTACTGATTCATTTTTTAGTGTTTATAGCAAAATAATGGTGAAAGATGATCTATTTCTTGGAACAGAATGCTTTTATAATAATGTGCTATTAACGAAATGGCACTTTCATGAATGGCAATATTGCTGTTGTATGCAGAAATGAGTTTTTTGCAAATATCGAGACATTCAAGTTAAAAAGAAACTTCTCATATCATGAAATATAATGGAGATGTGATCAAAATTGATCGAATAATTTTCAAAGATATGTAAGTGATCGATCTGCATATGCTCCACGTTCTCCGGATTTGACACCGTTAGATTTTTAACTGGTTGGGTTTTTAAAAGATAAAGTTTAATTTACAAGAAGCAACCACATTTTTATGGGAGTATTAATAAAGAAATGGTACACAAAATATTTTCAGCACGCATAATTTGCTGTTTGGTTAGATAATTTGAAATTAAACATCAATTTTGAAAGTAAACGAAGACTAATGAGATTTATATTTACAACAAAATGGTGACATTTTCAGTAAACAGCAAAAAACTGAAAAATTTTGTTTTAATATAATTTACTCTAATTAAATGAAAAGTATAATTGTTTAATCGTAATTTCAAACGTGAACGTGTATTTTAATACAAAGCAATTGTATCTGAAAAAGTGCACAATTACATCGTGACTGCCAGACGGTGAACCTAAGTAGGTATATAAAATATATTATTTATAACGTAGTTCAAAACACTGCACGTACTTACTTACGTACAAATCAAAGCCAAAACTAAAAATCTAGGGAAAAAAATTGAGGCCAACCTCTCGTCGTCGGCCAAATGGAGAAAGAATAATTTCTTACTGTGTGGGTGTTGGCACCCTCGTTGGTCTTCTCTATGTCCGCATCCAAGTCGATAATCAGGTCGCCTATTCCTATATCCCACTCGTTGTCATCGTATTCGAAATTTGAGGGTTGGGTGGTGGTGGTTGCGATGTCTGGCTTCGCCGTGGCGTTCCCTGTCCTGGAGTCCGCCACCCTCGCTCGGTGGCCCGCGTCCTGCGAGCTGGATCTCATTGGGGCCGCCATGCGCTAGTCCGGGCCCCGCCGCCGAGTCTTTGCCCCGCGGCGCCCGACAACTCCACACACTGCATCTTACCCCTGCAACAATAAAAATACATACTCATTTTCTATTCGGTCTATTGTTACATCTACGTTACATTTACACGCAACATCGTTGCTGAGAAGTATTTTCATTAATTTATATATTTTTGAAACGATTTTGAAGATGTATGAACTGAATTTAGCAACACAATAGAAATCTATACCGGATAACACAATAAATCCTATTTCGAAGGCGAGCGGAGACCCAGTCACAGGAAATCAAACTAAATCTCAGGCAATAATCAACACGAGACGCAGGCATCAAGTATTAGATATAATGTAGACTGTGCTGGCGAACTTGCGCATGCGCATTACAGCAATTTAAGACGAAAGTGGTGATTATCTTATCATTATGGATATGAGGCTCAATTATGTGGGCTACAGGTAGGTACTTATATACCTACCAAGCTATTTTTGAAACATCAATACCTTGCTAAGGTCCGTGATGGTAGATCGTCGGCTCCAAAGAAATTAATATGATAGTCAGCTCACCCAAATAGTGAACATTGAATTTTTGTTTTATTGGAGGGCACCCGTAAACCGCTTAGGATTATGGTAATGATAATTTATAGCCCAGATTGCTTGCCTGAAAGGAACAAAGGTTCTGTGAATCAGACGTATATCCATAGATTTTAGATTATGATAGTCAACGTCGTCTGATTCGCAAAAGCCTTGATCATTTCGGATAAACAATTCAAAAGAAGGCTAACGTTGTAAATCATAAATATACACAAGTGAGTCTATATTGTTAATTTAAGATACTGCCTTGTAAGGTTCTGCTGAGAATAAATGCATTTGAAAAAAACTTGTTTGATTGATCTTGTGTGGACAGAACGCAGTGTAAAATGTTAACATTAAATTACTAAGCTAGATGGGATAGCTTAATACTGCCTCCAAAACCCTTTCTAGTGAAATTTTTACATTCCTAACATTTGTAGTTTTCATGTTAGATTTCACACGACTACAAATTTGTATCAAAATTTCTCTCGTCTGAAAAAATGAAATTATGACAAATACTGACACAAAATTTGAAATGCATCAACGAAATAACTATGGGATTGCGAGAATTGTTTGAAAAGAAATTATGATGAACAAAAATGAAAGGGAGTTCGCTCAAAGTACTAGGGGAGACTTCACTGCCAAGGGGAAGTACACTGCAATAAGAGCATGCGGGACCGTAAACACGTACTTGAAAGTAGTTAACGGAAACATAAATAACATTGATATCTATAAAAATTCAGAAGTCAAAAACAACAGTTACGGAAATCGAGACAATTAGCAAACTGCAAAAATTGACACAAACTGGTTTAGAAATAATTTGCTCAATACTATCTCTGTATACACCAGTTTCTATTTTTGGTTTCCACGAGTTACATATTCATTCCAAGTTCACAGATTGTGTCAGTAATTAGGCAAATAATTTGTACCAATTTACGAGTGTTTAGCAATCTCCACACATTCTAGTGGTTTAGCACAGGAAACTGTTCTGTTTTTGTTGTCGTTTTGCATCCTGCTGTTGACGTGAGAATAATGAATTAAAATGTTAACGTTAGTCGGAGACAATAAAACCGTAATGAGAAATTTAAGAGTAAACTTTAGCAGAGGAATTTAATACTTTGAGTTTACTTTCGTGTAAATAATGTTCTGTTCGTTCGTGAGATTATAAAATACATCTTCCGGAGGAAATGCACCTGCCTGGCTTGAATGTAAGATTAATCCAATTACAAATTATTCTAAACATAACTTTGAAACGATATTATCCAACCAGATGAATTAAATAAACAGCCAGGAAATAGCTGAGCAGCTTTAATCTCACTGCCATCGTACATTATCTCTGGATTAATATCAACCGTATAATGAGATGTCGTCGCGGTTATTCCAAAGAGCACCTGTTCGCTAGAATTCAGCGAATGTTAAACATCCCAGAGACGAAAAAGACAATTCCCAAATATAACATTTAACCAACATCTACATCTACGCCAACGACTCCCAAATTTGTAAACTCTGCATTTTTACGTGCAGGTGCGGAATTAATCCAGTGACTGTAACCAAAACGTTACAGCTACGAAAATAGCCAGATAAATTCCCAAAGTTTTCCGAAATGTCGTATATAAAACTTTAATTGATTCCTGTCACTTAATGTAAACATCCAGCTGTATTGCTGCCATAATAAATACACTAGGTAATCGTACCTTCATGGCTTCCAACTTCCGCTCATAAAACACTGATCGATTATGCGATGTAAATGAACAAGCGGCTGAAAAACACACCGGAAGAGTAATTTGGTAAAAACATGTTTTGAATCCTCAGTCATGAAAGTAGCTTTGTATTTTTAATCGCTAGTCGAAAAACACCAGCTTCCGCTTTACTAAATATGAAAATACGTTATATTTATTTATGAGCGCATCTACATGCTACGCTAGAGAGAGGTGTGCAAGTAGCCGAAACGTACGAGGGGAATCTAAAAATACTGGGCTGATTGTTGTCATCATTATAATGATGTTAACCTTATGCCTTCGTCAATGTCAAGGTATGTTGCTTTATTGAAGCATGTTGACATAAGTAGATATACGCATTTAATCGAGTTTTTGAAACGAAAGTCGAAGATACTCTTTCCAGAAAGATCCAAACTTTTAAGAAAAACGAAAATATCAAGATTTACGTTAAAAGTAGATCGCATACAATTTCTGATAACTGTTGTATTGACTGTTATTGCAGGGACCTCTACAGTATTAAAAAAAAAGACTGACATTAGTCTTCTCTTACTAGTGATGCCGATTACATATATGTATTTTCTTCCATTATTTATATATTATCTAATATATGTATATTAGGGTGATTCAAAAAAAAAAAATAATTTTTTTTTTTCGTGCAAAGAGGTTCAAAAGTTTCTTTTCAACGTAAAAAAATACCAGTTAAAATTTGAGCTCTTAATATTAATATTAAGACCGTCCGCATCGCGTTTTTCTATTTCCCATAAGAATAACATGGGAAAATTTTTGTTTGCACCTTCTGATTTTTATTGCTAGCCCGTCGTGTGTCGTGAAAAAAATTCAATCACATATTTTTATAGAGAATTGAACGCTCTACAAAAAGTGTCTCCTATGATTGTGCGAGAAACCTGATAGTTGAAGAGTTATTTTAGGCTAAAGTTAAATTTATCCAAATTTTGACGTTTTTGATGCATTACAATAAATTTGATGGTCTTATTGGAATAAATCACCACAAAAATTTATACACATTTTAAATTTAGTTTTTTAAACAGTAATTGTTTATAATTTTATGCTATAATAAGGCCAGTAAAACTCTTTCCGAACATTTTCAGCATCAGTGGGTTAAAAAATCATAGTCAGGTTTCTCGCAAAATCATAGGAGACACTTTTTGTAGAGCGTTCAATTCTCTATAAAAATATGTGATTGAATTTTTTTCACGACACACGACGGGCTAGCAATAAAAATCAGAAGGTGCAAACAAAAATTTTCCCATGTTATTCTTATGGGAAATAGAAAAACGCGATGCGGACGGTCTTAATATTAATATTAAGAGCTCAACTTTTAACTGGTATTTTTTTACGTTGAAAAGAAACTTTTGAACCTCTTTGACACGAAAAAAAAAATTATTTTTTTTTTTGAATCACCCTAATGTATATGTAGATATCGTTTGTACTGTTTTTAAAGCAACTTTATATTTTACGTTTTACTACTATCTAAATAACTGTTTCGTTGTTCATGTGGGCTTCAATTCTCTCACTTACAACCCATTATTATCACCGAAGGGTGAACCGGCACGGGTCATTTTGCAATCGTCCGCAACCCTGCTATTACACCCTTCATAATTTTGTGAAACAATTCTAGTGGGTTCAAAAACAGCGTTCTTCTGTATTTGGCAAATTCTGAAATGACGTCACCAGACATTTGGTGGGGAGGACAGACGAATTTTGGTTAGCGTTTTACTAACTACACAATATTGTCTTAAAGACGCTTAAGCACACTCGAGAACCAACACGTGTAATTTTCCTTCTGGATTACTCTTGTACAATGGTGATTTAACTTGATAACTATAACTTATTAATACGCAAAGCAGAGAAATGTCTCGTGGCGGCACACCTGTGTTACGATCAGTGCTGCCAACCCACGCGCGTCCACCGCTATAAACTTTCCTAATGAAACAGGCTTATAGATGTCATTCCCGTTACACAAAAAGATTTTCTATTTGCCGCTAATCGCTCCAATTGAAGCTACTCAGCGCCGGTGTGGGTAATGCTTGTTTCGTAACAAAGCCGCCATCAATTCCCGTTTTAATGAAAAAGTGCGTGACGTCGAGTACACATAAACCAGCTGTTATCACCACACGTTGTTTAATAATAGAATTGGCGTGTGTGCGAGTCATTTGTGTTCGGGTGTGTATTTGTTCGTCGGTAGTTCAACAGTAAATTAGTTTCGAGTGGGTGCTCGCGGAGTGGGTGACATGACCGACATCTTCATTACGCCCATGGAGATACTCGTGCACATGTTTTCTCATAATGACGCACTAATTGCACGTTTATCATGCTATTGCCGCATAACCGATTTGCATACCTCTCCCATACAATGGCAAAAGCCCGGCAAAAATGACCGGTTAACGAGACTTGCTCCACATCGGCATGAATATTTATCAGACGGTGGGCTATACAATGACTGAAGAGACGTTTCGGTTGCCAGTTTCAAGAACAATTACTTTTACGGTGGATGGTATGACACGAATTTATGATGTGAAGAAGTAAAGGAGAGGCGGGGCTGACAGATGGCGGGGTTGATGATCTTTTAAAATCGATGGTTTCCCTAGGGTGAGAGGGACGAAGGGAGGCACACGTCGCTCGACAGCTTATTACAAAGAGTGATTTTTTATTGCTACTTTATCAAACACCAGATATGTCAATATCGAGATTTCCTAAAGGGGCCCTTCGTGTGAACCCATAAACGTCAAGCGAAATCTCGTGATACTTGAAGTTTAAATT